CAATCCACTCTCCTTCGGGGCCTAGTGCTCTTGTTGGCACACTGCCCACCCCTCTTCAGGGTCCAGTGTCCTCGCTGGCACTCGTTTCCTTCTCCAATTAATATGAGACCCCCTAATCTATCCTCCTTTAGGGCCCAGTGTCTTTGTTGGCACACTGCCCACCCCTCTTCAGGGTCCAGTGTCCTCGCTGGCACTCGTTTCCTTCTCCAATTAATATGAGACCCCCTAATCTATCCTCCTTTAGGGCCCAGTGTCTTTGTTGGCACACCGTCCACCCCCTTCGGAGCCCAACGTCCTCGTTGGCACTCGTTCCCTTCTTCAATCGATGTGGACTCCAAATCCACCCTCCTTCAGGGCCCAATATTCTTGCTGACACACCGTCTTGTGTCCACCCCCTTCGGGGCTCAACTTCCTCGTTGGCACATCGCTTGGTATTTGGCTCTGATACCATTTGTAACAACCCAAACTCACCGCTAGTAGATATTGTCCTTTTTGGGCTTTTTCATTCGGACTTCCCCTCGAGGATTTTAGAAAGCGTAGGCTAGGGAGAGATTTCCACACCTTTATAAAGAAGGATTCGTTCTCCTCCCTAACCGACGTGGAATCTCACCGAACCTATTCTACATACTCAACAAGACATTATTGAAACCAAAAGAAGAGACAAATTTTACCACAAAACGTGTCTGGAAGTCCACCAATTGATTTAGGCTTCCATTTCTCTGAGATCTTCATAGGAATAGTGAAGGGATCATCAACAAATTCTTCAGTAAATCGCCCTTTCTTATGATCCAAAACAGTGATTTTATTCTCCTTCGCCACTATTTCCAGAGTTGGCTGAGCTCCCACTACACTATAACGACCCTGTGATGAAAAAATGTATGAGAATTCATAGAAGTTAAAGATGCAAAAGGGAATTAATCCAAAAGCACCATTAAAGTAGAAATGAACCTGAGAATTGGACTCCACCGACTCCAAAATGAAGCTCGGAGCATTCCAATCATTTTCCTTCACCAGACACCGATATGCCAGAATTGGGTCCAGTTTATCCCCAAAAATGCATACACTAAGTGGCACCAGATTTCCATGTTTCGATGCTTCTATAAACTCTGCTGCATCAACACCTAAATAAAAATCAAACATATTAATCCAACTTAACACATCATAATTAAAATATTCATCAAAATTACCATTTTATAATTCATAACTTAAAATTCCTCCCTAAATTAAAAAAATACATACTTTACCAATTAAGTTACTAAATTTGTAATTTAACAACAAAAAACAATCAAAGTCAAGAAGAAGAAGAAGAAGAAGAAGAGAAAAACAACGAAGATTGGTTACCTAAAGAGTTAGAACTTGGGGCCGGGAGAGCAGAAGACCTCAAGGTCGGGAAACACTTGTCGGAGATTGACCGGAAAAGCGACAATTGAGAATCTGAACCTCGACGGCATCGAAAGAAGCTACCAGCTCTCTGGCTGGAACTGCTATGGACAGAACCAGGACGACGGCGCCGGTGGGCGTAGGGGAGGAGAAAGCTGTCGTGAGTAACAGATTGCATTCTCCGACAACGGAAGTAGGACAACCTTGGAACTCTCAGAAAATATGTTTCCGGGGTCCCTGATTATATATACGACTTTATTCGCATTGCACGCGAGCTGCATGTAACGGTTCAAACTACATGAAATTTCACCGCCATTTTTTTTATTGTTTTTTAGATTTCCATTGATTATCGATAGACCATATAAAACATTTAGTTAATTAGAATATAGATTAAATTTAAAAATAATAAATTTAATATAGAATAAGTGAATAAAAATGGTTCTTTTACGGTATAATATTAATTGGTTGGAGTCTGCTATGAAATAAATAAAGAAATGAAGAGTAATGAAAATATATATATATATATATATATATATATATAAATAATGAAGCTTTGTGGACGTAATACTAAAATTGTTTTTAATTATTTGATAGAATTATTGAAAGGTCCACTACTAAAATAAATTGCTCAAAGTGTACACGTAGAAAATACCATAAATAGTAAGAAAAAAAAATCATGAGAATTATTTAAACGTGTACACACGTTTAGTGAAAGGGTTAGATTGAAAAAATCTTATGTATTAATTCAAAAAATTTAAATTAATTTAATGGATAACACGCACAATTTGAATAGATTTCACCATTCAACTCTTCTTATTGGGGTTAGATTGGTTATGTAATTATTTTTTAAATTATTAAAAAAAACATATATATTTATAATAATAATTAAATATCATAAAATTTAAATATGTATTACTAACCTCGTTAAATTTTTTTTTTTTTTTTTCAAAATTGAAGTTATTAACGTGTGTGTTTAAGAAAATTTTAATATGTTTCCATAATATATAAAATCTCCCATGTTTACAATTTAAAAGAAAAAAACAAAAGAAAAATTCCACCCAATCCATTCTCATGCATTGTTTATATATTATGGTTATTTTTTTGGAAAACTCCATATATACACATCCTTAACCTATCCGATTTATCTGCTTCCTTGCGAATCCGACATGTCGTCTGCAACCTAACATGCCTTCCATGAATTACTCTACAGCTTTACCTTCCAAAATGGTATTTTTCAACTGTGGAAACCCTTTATGGCAAGCTGCAACCTACAGATAAGGAAGAACCGACATTCTAAATTTAATTCTCTCTCTTTTTTTTCATTAATGTTTTTTTTTTAAGAAAATTAAATTAGATCAAAATATTATTTTGCTTTAGCTTACTTTCAATTTTTAAAATTTAGTTTATTTACTTTAAATAAATCTTAAATTTAATCTGTTCCAAAATAATATTCTTTAAATTTAACCTGAAAATTAGAGGAAAATGGAAATTCTTACGGCTTCAATGTCGATTTGGAAAACCCGAAGCTTCCTTCTTTGTCGGCAGCTGGTTCTGTAGGCCACAGCGATGTGGCCGACAGCCAAAACCAGAGAGCAACCAAACAGAGCCATTTCCATGGCCCCTGCTTGCTCAATCCTCATCTCACCAAACATGAACAAGGCTTTCACCGAAACAAAAACCAGAGATGTCGAAGAACAAGCCATTGCCGCCGCTAAGTATGGCCCTCGAGATAGCTTCGGCCCATCGCACAAACTGTAAAAACCTACAAAACAAAACAAAACAAAACCCATATCCATAAACACAACTTCATTTTCATCACTCTGTGTTTGCAAGAGAAATGGCTTACAGATGATGATGGCGGATCTGGAAATGGAGATGAGCGGAATGTCAACAAGGGATGAACCAAAATCGTAGGTTTGGAGATGGGAAGAGAGAGATTTGAAGGAGAGAGAATCGGGGAAGAGGAGGGCGGAGAGAAGAAGAGAAGGAAGAAGCGCATCGGCAATGGCGAGAAGAATTGGAGCTGAGAAGAAAAGCAGAGATATGAACATGGTGATTAAGAAGAAGAGGGTCTTCAAAGCCCTCAAAATCCTCACTGATTTCTCTTCCTTTTGAAAACCCATCTCCAATTTTGGGATTGCTATGTGGGTTTTCGATGTCGCAGCAGATGGAATTTTGCAGAGTTTGAAATTGAGTGATGGATGAGCAAGAGGAAGAGGAAGAGAAGACTTTGAAATGTGGTGAATTGGGGAAAATTCAACGGTCATCAAATACACATAAAAAAATGTTAACGGCTACACTCAAATGTCCTTCTCATTCTTTTCTCTTCCAAATTAACGTTGATTTTCATTCTTTTTAATCATTTGTTTGACCAACAAAACATTTCTTATTCGTACCCATAAGTGTCGGTCTAAATTCACCCATAGTAGATATAAATTCGTGAGGCTAACTTCATTTTCCTCTCCAACCATTCTCTTTAGGGAGAGGGGCAGCATCTTAGCTAACATAACGTTCAGCGTCTAACTCTGATATCATTTGAAATAGCCAAAATCTTGCTAGCATATATTGTCTATTTTGATCTGTTATGTTTCGTCGTTAAACTCACGATTTTAAAACGGACAAGAAATATGAGATTAATTTTTTTTTAAGTTGAGTAAAATGAAAAAAAAAAATATATATATAATAAATAAACTTACAATTTTATGCCTAATGCAATGTATGGGTACAAACACTACCCTTTATATATATATATATATTAAAATAACAATATAAATCCTTTGTAATTTAAAAAATATATTATAATAATAATAAAACCTTCTAGAAGAAAGATTTTAGTACACGTCACTCACAGCTGACAATAACGACGATCTATAAATTTATTTTAAAATCTAATTGATTGTGACCATTATTTTGAATTTAAATACATAGTTGTGTTTGACGGTTAAAAAATAAAATATTAACTATTTATTTTTGTAATCGACAATACATGACATGGCAGTGCTCAATATTGCATAAAATATAAATATAGTATGTAATATATCACAAATTATAAATAGTTGTCCATTTCAAGCCCTTAGCGCGCCATTTGATCTAAGATTCCGGGAAATAAATGCCCCAAAATAAAAATAAATTACTAGAAAAAAAATCATTTTTTATCTTCAATTCAATTTATACTAATTCAACGTCATTTAAAAAAAAATAATTTTTTTTGCAACTTTAATATACCGAATTAAGTGAATTAATTTAACGCATCCAATTATTTAAGAAAGAAGATAAATTAAATGGATACTAAAATGTGAGATCTCGCATCGATTTGAGTGGAGAACAAATCATTATTTAGGTGGGCTGTTACAAGACATGGAACAATATGCCAACAAGGACGGACACTAGGCCTGTGGATTGTGAGATCTGGTATTGGTTGAAAAAGGGTATGAAACCTTTTTTATACTAATGTGAAAACCTCTCTGTTTTAAATTTTTTTGAAAAAATTAAAAAATAATAATATTTATTTACATGGATTGCAAAAAAAAAAAAAAAAAAACAGCTATGGACGAGGATGTTAATTGGGAGAGAAAAATATCTTCCAAAAGAATTTGTAAAAATGGGATTGAGAGTAGAAAGAGGGAGCAGGCCCATAAGTATTCACAAAATTAATAAAAAGAGTCCAAAGTTCATTGTGCCCTCTTCCTCCGCACTTCAACCATGATCTCAACCCACGACCATCGACGGACCATCTCTGACTCCGATTCTAATTCCGACGATGACAACACCGGATCTCAATCCCTCCGTCATCTTGATCTCTCTGATTCCGTTTTCAAAGCCTATTTCGAATTCACCGGCCGATCTACCACTACCGCTGACTTATCTAAGATCCAATCCTTCCTCACCTCCTCCTCCTCCGGCGCATTGTCTTGTTTGATATGCCTCGAACGCATCCGCCTCACGGACCCCACATGGTCCTGTTATTCTCTCTGTTTTGACGTTTTTCATCTCTTTTGTATTCAGAGTTGGGCTCGCCAGGCTTCGGATTTGGCCGCTGCGCGAGCTGCCACACGCTCTCTTGTCTCCCCCGATAAGCCTGACGAGCACTCTGGGTGGAACTGCCCCAAATGTAGAGTTGAGTATTCCAAATCTTCAATTCCTAAGAAGTACTTTTGTTTCTGTGGGAAATTGGAAAACCCACCAAGCGATGATCCTTGGATTTTACCCCATTCATGTGGTGAGGTATGCGGCAGGCCATTGAAACACAACTGTGGTCATCATTGCTTGCTCTTGTGCCACCCCGGTCCTTGCCCCTCATGTCCAAAGATAGTGCAGGCTAGTTGCTATTGTGGGTCCGTTCGGGACGCTCGACGATGTGGGTTTAAGAATTTTTCTTGTAACAATATCTGCTCCAAAGTGTTGGATTGTGGTAGGCACAAGTGCGCGGAGATTTGCCATGAGGGTTCTTGTCCGCCGTGTCGTATTCAAGGTGTATTTAAATGTCAATGTGGGAAGACTGTGGAGAAAAGGGAATGCTGGGATCGGAATTTTCGGTGTGAGATAGAGTGTAATAAACTGTTGGGATGTGGGAAACATTCGTGCAATGAAGGGTGTCACTCTGGAGAGTGTGGCCAGTGTCCGTTTAAGGGGAAACGAACGTGCCCCTGTGGGAAAAAGGCGTATGAAGGAATACCTTGTGATGTTGCTGTATCACTTTGTGGGGCTACATGTGAAAAGATGCTTCCTTGTGGCTATCATAGGTGTCCAGAGCGATGTCACCGCGGCCCATGTATTGGAACTTGCAGAACTGTTGTCTTCAAGTCCTGCAGGTGTGGAAGCTTGAGGAAAGAGGTACTTTTTCTTTTCAATATTCTCTGTTTATTTTTAATGCTTTGGAAATGAATGAAATAGAAAAAGAAGTTCAATTATCAATGAGTTTAGAGATGGTAAAATGTAACTAAGTCTAGAGTAGATTCCTTGTTATCAAGATTTGGCATGTGAGAGGAAGTGCCAGAGAATGCGAGACTGTGGACGCCATGCTTGTAGACGCCGCTGCTGTGACGGTGACTGCCCGCCCTGCTCAGAGGTTTCTATTGCTCTCTTAGGTTGTTACGTTCAGTTCTGTATGTCTGCGGAGGATTATTAACTTTTCAAAATTTTAGATTTGTGGCAGGAGGTTGCGATGTAAAAACCACAAATGTCCCTCCCCATGTCATAGGTATGTCATTATATTAAGTAGATTGATCATGGCTATTTTTAATGATTCTTCTTCTGTACAGTAATTAGATTGAGCTGTATTTGAATGATATTGATGAATTAATGCAAACAATCAATTTGGTATTGCAGAGGTCCTTGTGCTCCTTGTCCAGTGATGGTAACGATATCGTGTGCGTGTGGCGAGACACACTTTGAGGTGAAACATTGGCTCTTTAATTTTCATAGTTGTACAAGACATCCTATTTCATTTTATACCATATTGTTATCTGCTTGGGTGAATTATGTTAACTTGGAGCTGAAGAAATGAAATCTAAGTTTGTGCATAATTTTCAAATTTTCAAAATTCTCTCCAATCAATAACTTGAACACGTTGCATTTCTGTAATTTGTGGCTGAAGATTGTGTACTTATCACTTGGACTTTAAACATAATGGTGGTCTGGTTTCTTGTGGTTAAAGGGCGTAAGGCTTAAGCGCTAGACTTTGGTAAGTAGTACAGGTCCTATTGTGTCGGTGTGCTTGATTTTCATTTACTATATGATTATAATTTACTTTCATATTGTTAGGCTTTACAGAACAACACAAATAAAAGTATTTTTTTGAGAGCTGTAGTAGATATATGTGCGTGTTCTGATATTTGTATTCTGAATCTTTTATTTGTGTCGCGAACTAAATTAGGTTCCTTGTGGCACTGAGATGGATCAGAAGCCTCCAAAATGTCCTAAACGATGTCCTGTCCCACCTCTATGCAGCCATAGATCAAGTCTAAAGGTAGTTTTGTGCTATGACTTGGTTTCTTGCTAATGTGTGTTGGATCTTTACTTTTGAAATCTCATTAGAATATCAATAACTCACCCAATAATTTCTTCCTCTTTTTAACATTTTACTTGACTTCTATATTTTAGAACTGAGATGCACTCTGCATGGTTGAATAACTGGTTCGGGTTCAGATCCATATCGATATAATTTGCACTTTTTTTCCTTTTTGAAAAATGACAACTTTTACGAATGCATGAAGCGTCAGTTAGCTCCCATATCTATAAAGAGGTGATTTGGTTTTCTTGACCATTGACATGTTTTTATTCAGCCACACAAATGCCATTATGGAGCTTGTCCCCCATGTCGCAGAATTTGTGAAGAAGAATATTCATGTGGGCATAAATGCCAATTGAGGTTAGCAAAACCTTCTGATGACAATGATTGGAGTTTAAATCTTCTTTTATCCTTCTTGACCTTTTCATCTCCTTTCCTTTATTTAGATGCCATGGTCCCAAGCCTCCTCCTAAACCAGAGTTCACATTGAAACCAAAGAAAAAGAAAGCGTTTCATCCAGAGGAACCTAGTCCTGGTTCTCTATGTCCTCCGTGCCCAGAATTAGTGTGGCGACCGTGTTTGGGTCAACACATTGGTGCTGAGAGAATGGTTAGTTGTAGGTTTCAAGCAGTCTTGGATTATAACTTGAACACTTCCTTGCAAGTTCCCTTTGAGTTATCTGAGGGTTGTTTTTGGTAAATTTTTGCTCATCCCATTGCTTTTCCTCAGATGGTTTGCTCAAATATTACACAATTTTCTTGTGATAATTTATGCGGAAATCCTCTTCCCTGTACCAATCATTATTGTACCAAAATTTGCCACGCGCTCAAGAGCCAACCTCCATCATCATCCCGAAAAGACTTGAGCGAGTCTTGCGAAAAGTGTAAACTTCCTTGTGAAAAGGTTGGCATCTTCAGTTTTGGTATATCATGTGATTTTCTGTTTTTCCCTTCATCTTTGATGTGGAAGTCATCTCCAGTCTGAGAATAAATAGTTTTTTCTTTTTCCTAGGAGAGGAAGCCAAAATGTGCACATCCATGTCCCGTAAAATGCCATCCTGGAGATTGTCCTCCCTGCAAAGTGCTTTTAAAACGTTCGTGTCACTGCGGTACAATGGTCCATGTTTTCGAGTGTATGTACTACATTACTCTGCCTCCTGAGGAGCAAATGGCTGTATTGTCCTGCGGTGGACCTTGCCACAGGTAGTCAAAGATACTATTACTTGTTGGTGATACTTTTTCTTAATAAAAAAACAAAGCTTAAACAACATTGGAGGTGTTTGTCATTGCAGAAAGTTGCCCCACTGCACACATCTGTGTTCTGAAACCTGTCATCCTGGGAAATGCCCGTCACCCGAAAATTGTTCGAAAAAGGTACCTCCTTGGTTATCTTCCATAGTTTCTTGAACACTAATAACAGGGATTTGTTTCTGCAAATTTGTATTTGAAAATTTCCAAGGTTACGGTTCGTTGTGGATGCCAAACCTTGAAAAAGGAGTGGTTGTGCAAGGACGTACAAGCAGCTTATAGCAAAACGGATCGTGACCCGAAAGACATACCGAAAACCCAATTTGGGTATGGCCTTTTACCTTGTGGTTCCGATTGCAAACGTAAAATACAGGTTGTTGAGTCAGAATTATCTCAACGGAAACCTGAAGTCGCCGGGGTAACGTATTTCATACTGCACTACAGAAATCTGTATTTGAATACTAAACGAATGTTTCAGTTTCAGTTTTTAGTAAATGCAATGGCCCATTACTGATTTCAATTTTAATATGATCAATTGCTTGGGGGTAAAGGTAAAGGAGGCTGATACCAAGAAGCAAGTATCAAAGCGAAAGAGAAGGCGTGACACGATACAAGAAGTTAAGCCGATCTCGAGACTACAGGTACTCTCCTTGAGCTAGTTCTGTACAAAATGAGCAACATCTGTAGTTTGTGTTCTTACTTGGTTGAACTAAAATCCCTGTGGACAGAAATTGTTTGGAGCATTGAAGTATACTCTTGTAATAATGGTCATCATGATTGCTGTGGTCTTGATATCCTTGTATGGTTACAAGGGCCTGTTATGGCTGAATGACTGGATGAACGAAGCTGAAAAGCAAAGACCAAGAAGGAGATACCCTCGAATCTAATGTTTCAACCTCCTTCCTAATTAGCATCACAGGAACTTACATATTTGAGTTTGTAAAAATAGATATTATTAGCACATGATTTCTTTTCTACAAGTCTCATTCATCTTGGTGTTTCTATGGATTCACTAATGGCACTCTGTAATAATGTAATTTTTGCCCTGTTCATCACATCTCGGAGTTTGTTTGAGGTAACTCGGTAAACTTTGGTTCAAGGTTCTGTTTACGATGCTTGTTGTACGAGAAATGTTATCAAAACTTCATCACCTGCACGTGTTACCGTACATTCATTTCAAATTAGAAGGCTTATTTTTAATATATACAACACTCTGCATAAGTTTATTGAAATTAAGACTCAAAATGTAAGCAAAAACCAAAACTTTCATTTCTCATATCACAAAATTGACAAGTTTCTAATTCATTGAATCAATTCTACAAAGTTTCTTTTTCTTCAGACATTTACAAAAAAGAGCAAAACCAGAAGCCAATTCTTTTTTATCTTTTTCCCTCTTATTATTACTTTCTTTAATTTATTTGATACTTCTTCAAAAAATTATGAGAATGTTTACGGGTACGACTGCGACAGCCACGGATGTGCCAGAGCTTCCTTTGCAGTTGGTCGTCTTTCTGGATTGATCTCGAGTAAGTTCGAAAGGAAATCAATGAACACGGAGTCAAAAACCTGCAAATGATTCTCCAAGGAGGACTCTTCGGGGATGATGAACTCCATTTGATCATTTTCCTGAAATGAAAATTCTCAAACGTTCTTAAAAGAGAACATTATGCTCAACATTTCCCAAGGGAATCTGAAACCAACCTCATTCATATAAAACAGATCATATTCTTTAGTGAAGTACTTGTGTGTCTCCTGTCCTTTTAGGAGCATCTCCAGGTCGATGGGACCGAACAACCCGATCATGCGGTCAAGGATCATTACAACTGCATCGTTCGGAAACAATACCTGGGAAGGCATAGCAGCTCGATCAGTTTTGCTCAAAGCGGAGTTTTATCTAGATGATAAAGAAAAGCTTACTTCTCCAGACCATAGCTCAGCCAAGATACAACCAAGAGACCATAAGTCGATCTTTGGATCATACGGGAGGCCTAGAATTACTTCCGGAGCTCTATACGATCGAGACTGCACGTATAGGCACAAGTTATCTGATTGAAAGCAACTGCTTCCAAGGTCGATAACCTTAATCTCGCATCGTTTGTAACTTTTAAGAAGAATGTTTTCTGGCTTTAGATCACAGTGAATGATTCCCAAATGATGCAAGAACTCCAATGCCTCCAAACACTGACGCGTAATAAACTGTCGAAACAAAATCGATAGACTTTAATCTACGTTTCTAACTCGAGAAACCACTCCGCTGTCCTAATATAAACGAACATACCTGCAATCTACGAAATGTAAAATAAGCATCTCCACCAGACTCTTGATTGAATTTTTGAAACTCGTACAAGTTCGCTCGAAGTAGTTCACAAACAATGAAGAGATGTTCCTGTCAAATTTGCAATACACAAACGAGTGAGTCGAGCTAAAGTATACTCAAAAGTTCAAACAGATAAAACCAACCTGATGATAAAAGTAGTCGTACAGCCGTAAAATGTGACGCCGATCTGCAGGGTCGTGTTTGTTGACAAGCTTTAGAAGTTTGATCTCGTCTAAGCTCTGATCAAAGAAATCTTTGTCGTTTTTTATGATCTTTAGGCAAACATCTATGCCCGTCTGTAGATCGTGTGCTCGAATAACTTTACTAAAAGCAGCCGATCCGAGGTACTCGGTTACATAGTATCGGCCTGCAAGGACGGTATTTAGCACAATAGGAAAATCCTTGCTCTCTTCAAATCCAGTCCTGTATATTGCATAATACATGAGAACAACTCATTGCTACATATCAACCTGCAACACACAAGCTTTAAATATCTATCAAAGCAGAGAGCAGAAAGTGAAGATCTTTGCAACAAATGTCACTTCACTTGAATTAAACATCTATAGATAGCTAAAACGTAAGAGCGATCGAGTGCCTAGTCGTTTAAACATGGTTTTTAGACATCGTTGGTAGCTCACCTGTTCTTTCTATGTATAATTCTCAGATCAAATACTTCAAATTCATCGTCGTTGATACCACACATCGGTAGCTCGTCAGCAGCAACGCCATCTCCATCTGTAACTGGTTCAGATTCATCGGCTTCCTCCTCTACTTCTCCATGACTATCGACGTTATAGCCATCAGCTGCGTTATGTATATAACTTTTTTCAAGAACTTTACTTAGGGAGTCATTGTTATTTTCAAACCCGTGGACGAAGTTCGAAGAACAATATATTTCGGTCGAGGAATCACAGTTAGTGGCAATGTCTTTAACTACTTTCAACTGGAAATCACTCTTGTGGCTATAAAACTCTCCATTGGCAACACAACATTTGCAAAAAGGAAGGCAACCCTCAGACAGCCCCTCTAAGCCTTGCTTATAAGGATGATTTGTGATCTCGATCAAACGTTCGTCACTCGAGTGAGCTGTACGACAAAGAATCGACTTCTCGGGAGCTGACAAACTACTAAACTGCTCGTCTCTCTCAGTAGTCATTATAAACTTATCCTCACTGGGGCAGCCAAAGAAATTCACATCCTCTTTCTCATCATACCAAAGGAGATCATTCTGCAAATCGAATTCGTGGTAATCACGCGCCGTGTCGAACTGAGAGGCGATATCTGAAGAAGACTCTGATGAAACACCGTAAGGATTGATGAATTCTGCAACAGAACACAAAGATCCCAATTTCAATATCCAGTTTGAGTTTGTAAAATATAAGAACATGGGGTTTTCAAAAAAGAAAGAACATTATGGATCTAAGAACAGGGGAAATCAAAGTAAGGATACTGTTTCTACTTCAACCCAGTACGATTAAGACAAGTTGAAGAGACTATTCCGAATTTCATAAACAAGCAATGAATCTAACTTCAAATCTAACCCATTACCAGAAGAGCAAACGTCAGAAGTAGAAGACCTCAAGCTCACAAACTCATCATCAGAGGAAACAGAGTTCGATCCAAAACGATGGTCGCCGTCGGCCTCGCCGCCAGAAAGAGCGGCGAATTGCCGGGAAGTGGAGGGGATTCTGACCGGAGGTGGAGCAGGGAGCATCGGAAAGAAGAATTTTTCAAAATCAAAAGAACCCAAATCGGATTTGTCGACGACATCCCTTTTGAGAGCCGACTCTGCCTCTGAAAACCCATTTTTCTTAAGAAATTCGAGCACTGCGTCCACGTCGGAAACCGCCATGGATGAAGAAGCTCAAAATTGGAGAGAAATTGATTGATGGGGTGTTAGAGAAACGACTCGAAATGGTAATTGAGAAGATTTGGATTGGTGAAATTGGAACTTGTTTTGGGTCGACTCGGCGTTTGCATGCTTGAGAGAATTTTCTCTCTCTACCTCTCTTCTTCACTCTCCGTTTCTCTCTCCTTTACAATGTTCTGTGAAACTGAACCGATTTACACAGTGCCAACTTAGCCTCGATTTTGTACGGATTTTGATTGGTGGGTCCAATTCACTACGAGTCGTTCGATTTTCCACGTCGGCAAACTTCACCCTTACACGTGTCATGATTGTTCTCTATTTTTTTAATTCCTCGACAAGATTTAGTAGTCGTTGGGGACCGAGTTCATTTCAACTTTTCCACTCCCTTTTTATTATTCCTCTCTAAAAATATTTATTTATTTTCATAGAAGCTTCTTTATTCAACGTCTTCCAAAATTTTCTCACCTTTTCTCATTGGTATTAAAAAAAATACAAAATACAAAAATATTTTAAGCTACAGATACACCTTTTCAGCTTTGTATCAATATGTAACACTTCAAACTTACCACTAGTAAATATTGTCTGTTTTAACTCGTTACGTATAATTGTATAATAAAATATTTTAGTGATTTGATTTATAATAAATTAATAATCCCTTCTCGAGTTTAAGGTTGTAATGTCTTTTTCTGTCTCTTAAAGGCATATGGATGAATGGATGAACGAGCATAGCAACTCGTTCACTCTCACTAACAAAGATCTATATGCTCCTCTTACCTAATGACGATGAAATTACAACTCATTCAATGATTGGTCTATTCATCGATTGAATATTTAAATATAAAAAATAAGTTTTGTAAAATTACTATTTTTACTTTTATTTTTTAAGCTTAAAAAATACTTTAAACATATAAAATAGATTGGAATTGGGCAATATTTAATTTTATGGAAAAAGAATTAAAAATATGAATATGATAAAAGTGAATAAATAATAATTAATGGAGAAATAATTTTGCAGGTGCAACCGACTTTTTGGGGGTGGGTGTGATGAAGCAATTGCACCAACCCCTTTTCTTTCTATTTCTTTCTCCATGTGATTACGTGTTGAGGATTAATTATTTTCTTCCTTTTTTTTTTTAATCTTTTTATTTTAAAAACATTTATTAAATAAATCGTTAAGTATTATAGTATAGAATAGGTAGCGATATTTGTCGAGAGAGAGGAATATGATAAAATATTAATTATTATAGTTCGATGTTGAACCTATTGAGAACTAAAAAAAATAATAATTTAATAAAAAGTAACGTTAACTAATTATATGACAGGAACATAAGGTATTAAAGTCAATGTTTGTGAATTATAATGCACGATAGTTTATTATTTTAGACTAAATAGTTTTGAATTTAATGAAAAATAATGCATGGTTGACGTTGATTTAAAATATATATTTATTATTTATTTGCTTAGAAGTTTTATCTTCTAAAAATTTAAATATATTTGGTAAGAAAAATGAAAATAATGGGAAAATTGATAAAAATAAATAAATAATTATTATTATAAATTATAAAAATAATATGAAATTAACCAGAAGTAGAACATTTCACGTGGAGTTCCATCACCAACAACACCAACATGAACACCAATCTTCATTATCAGCTAACCTTGAGCATTGATTTGACTCTTCACCCCACGTGGGCCTCTTAATCATGCCATCTCCCCTCACCATTTTTCATATATTATAACTATTATATTTATTTTCTTTAAATTTTGCAATATTATTCTTAATTTAAAATTTATTAAATTAATAATATACGTAGCAGTGATTCAAAATGACGTAATAATGTTTCGATATTAATTTTTATTTTAGGTCACGGTTCAAATTTTAACTTTCGTCTAACTTTCTAATATATTTATATTTTAAAATATTTATGGAAGGCAATTTAATAGTGTAAGATATTATTAGAATTTATTTAGATTATGCTCTTTTATTTGTATTTTTTCAAAAGAAAAAAATAATGATTTTGGATACACAGCCCAATATTGGGCTTGAGATTGGGCTGGGCTTTCGTCATTAAATTTATTTTCTTGTACGGCCCAATTCATCATGAGTCTCTCAGGCCCAAGATATATTCTACCCCTTCAATTTAAACCTCGGTAAAACTTGCAGCGACTTTTTAATTATTGGATGAAAATAAATATTTTTTTTTTTACTTTTTTTTTTTTTTTTTTTTTTTTTAATGATAATAGAAATGTTCTAAATTTTGAGAAAAGTGTTGGATTTGTGGGTAGATTATAATCACTCGTTTACTCATTCCATGAGCCATTGAACAGAAAAATTGTGCGAAGTGATTTCTCAAATTGGTGGAGGAGCTGCGTTGGTTAGAGAATTTAGAGGACGGAATGGAGACCGAAGGAGCAAGAAGGTTAGTATGTTTTTGTGTATGTTTTTATGGTAATCTAATTGGAGGTTAGAGTTTTTGCTGCGTGAAGGATGTTAACTGATACAAATATTGGAAATCTCTGCAACATTGAATTGAATTTTGATGTGCGAATCTTGAAGGAAAATATGTAGCCCTAGAATCGGAGGATTTTTCTATCGAAGTTATTATTCGATTCGTTTTTTTTGTCCTTTTGTTTTTTGTCTCACTTTACCACTTCGAAAGTTGAAAAGTAAAGTTGGAGTTATCTTGCTGCATCCGAGACTCAAAATGATGCCATGTTGTTGAATTTTGAAAACAGAAGAAGAATTGGGTGTTAAAAATGGAGTATGAAGTGAAAGTGAAAGTGAAAACGTGTCGCAATCAGGAAAGGTAATGGAGTAAGAACCAGGTTCCCCACTAAGCACATAGCATACACTCAGATTTACTATTTATGGTAAAACCCAAAGGCCAAGACAATGTAGTCCACTCAGACACCCACCAACCCCACCCCAATATCCCCTCTTGTTTCCCTTCATAATTTTATTTTCTTTCTTTCTCATACAATTTTCCTTCCATAGTTTCAACAGCTTTATGATTTCTTCTTTACGTGGAAAAGAAAAAAGAAAAAAAAAAGAAAAAAAAAAAACTTTTTCCATAGTCCAGGGATCGCTTCCTGTGCTTGGACAGAGCCATACGCATCTCCTACTGAGGAATAGGCATCCCCACACACATAATCACATAATTGAAATTCCTGTTTCTTTTTCTTGGGGGGATATTATTGAGTATTTTGCTAGACTTTTGTAGTGATTGAAGCATTATAAAGCATATGGGACATGGGTGGGCCAAAAAGCAGACTACCAGCATATTTCTGTACTAATTTAGAAAAGAAGATACCAGTGGGAGGAGGTTCTTCCACTGTTCTGTGTTGAGATTAGGCTAGGCCTTAGTGCGGTTAATCAATTCTACCCTTAAATTATTTGCTTTGTGGAATATACTTTATTACTTCACTTTTTGTTTTTTCTGCCACTCTTTCTTTCTTTCTTTCATTCTTTCTTTTCTTTTGTTAGGGGTGTCTATGTGGGTGAAATTATTTACGAGTATAGTTACTAAAAGACAAATATTATCTTATGCAGGTTTTAGTAGGAGTGATGGTTAAGGTTTTGTTTGATTGTTCAAATATATACATATATTTGTTTTCAGAAACATGGCATAGAATGAATTGATAAAAGTGTGTTTGATTCAAGCATTGAATTCTTTCAGAATCTATCTCAGAAAGTATGACGAGTTTAGAAAGCATAAAGATTTGGTTTTCTGTGTTCTTTGTTTATTTTTTATTTTTCGGATTCTTTTATTAAACGAAACTATCTCAAGTCAAAATGAGATATTAGTTGAATTCAAATTTAAACGCTTAAAAGTTAAACTAGCTGTGATTTGTGAAATATAACTATGGTTTCTTTTTCTTGCTTTCAATATTTTTATAAACTTGTTTCTGGATAATTTTTTACCTTAGACAATGTTTAACTATCTTTCCAGCTTGATGGCACGACGGCTATTTAATCCATTGAACAAATTCATCCTGTCATAGGCTAAGTCTTTTTATTTAAATGCAACGGCCAAGCTTGTTGATGCCATATTTTCTATGCTATATTTCCATGCCACTCATCACTCTCCATTTATTTCGGTTTTTGTATGCTTAAGTAATGTTGATAAAGGCGTAGTGGCTATCCCTCTTTTGGCATTCATATGCGCTGTGTTAGAAATTACTACAGGGTGGAACTAGCATTTAATTACCCTTCTTACCAGAAACTACCAAGCTTACTTTTCCCCAAATGCTTTAAATATTTTGTGTTGATGGGTAGATTGTAGCTTGGTCATTATTGCCTAGTGGGCTATTCTGTTCAAAAGTTCATAAAACTTGTAGTCGTTGGTGTCATGTCATAAATAGAACATCCATTTATAGCAACGATGGATATCTCAACTATGAAAACCTTTTCCTAACGCATTATGAATCAAAACAATTACTACAGAACCAAAGAAATTCTGCAAGTGTCAAAAAATATTAAGAGAAATGAAAGAGTGAAGTCATATCCACCACCCATTATGCGACAAGAACGTTAAATCGTGGTGCTGGGATTGCATAATTTCAGAGGATACGGATTTGAATATATTTGTGGCCACTTTGACCAAAACTCATAATTAGCTAAAAATTATGACAAAACATACTGCATAATCTTGGATAAATTAATTTATGGACCAAGTTTATCTAATAAAGTAGGGAACAGTACGAGTATCAACTCGTTTTGTTTAATTTGTATTGGTGTATACTCACCACTTAGAATAATATTTTGTTTTTATTTATTCTTTTTTGTTCTGTAGAATTACTCCTAGGAACTTCCCTTTTACAAGGCATATATCCTGGGTCTCTTAATGGACAGACCTTTGTTCCTCTTCATTGTCACACTTAATTTCATAAATCCTGAGCGTGCACTTCAATATGAAAGGCATTTCACCATTACCTTTTTCTCATCATATCATATTTCTCTCTTTTTGGTTCATTTAAGCATTGGCACCTTTTCTGCACGAGCACTGTTTTTTATGAATCTTTTCCCACTGAAAGGCTAAAACTGCTTGTTCGTTTGACACATTTGAACTTCTATTTCTCCTAAAATTAACCTTAGTGAGTGGAAAAGCATATAGACATGTGTGATCAGCACTAACCTTACTGTTCAACGATTGCCAATGGGCTGATAGGAACTATAATTCTGTATTTCGAGTTTCATTTATGGAAAGTAAGGATGATGGAGAAATGAAAGTTGTGATAAGCACGAATAATTGCCCACCCCATCTGTTAATGGTCCATTTACTACAAGATATGCACCTTGTATTACTTTCTAGTTCTGTTCTTATTTTTTCAATTGACCAATTAGACGTTTAGTAGTTGGCAGCCTGATTCAACAACATAACTAATTGGAGATTGCCCACTTGGAACTTTAATGAGAAAGCAGATACGTATGAGAGCGAGGAATATAATATTTGTGCATTAGTGGACGAAAGTCAAATCCCATCACTCTTAATTTGAAAAAGCTTTTTCAGCAATGATGTTAAGTAGTTCAACTGCAAGAGTGAGAGGAAGGTTGAATATCTTCCCAAAATGTTTTGAGGTTTTATTATCTTCTCCTTCTTAATTTGTTTTTTCAGTGGAAACTAATTGAAAAGCAATTTCTTCAGTGTTTCTGGTCTCCTAAAGAAGCAACTGATCCCTCTCTTAATTGTAGGACTTTATTTTCCTCAATTTATTGTCTAGCTCTTACAGTTTCTTGTTAGAGATGTCATTTGTTCAAAGACGCATAAAGACCTGTTACGTGAGATAGGAAGGATTGAGTTCAAGAATTTCTGATGTGTTTTTGTTAAAGATCTAATTGATAGAACTTCGGAAATATTCCCTTAACTACATATGAAATAATGTAACCCAATTTACTTGAATATATATGTATGTATGTTTTTATCTATAGAAGAGAGAGCATTTAGAAGAATAACATAAACAGCTAAGATGTGTAAAAGCTAACAGCTCCATGTATAGGTAATGAAGTTGAGGTTCGATATTAGACAGTTCATCCAAATGTGTTTGTTGGATTTTCCCCATTTAAGTTTCTGTCTTCTATAATATATTTATGTATTTATTTTCACAGCCCCACTTGATCTCCTTTAACATGGAATTATTGAATATTGTCATGAATGACAGCTACTGCTGGAGATATGCATAGACCCCCCCTCCCCCACCACTTTTCAGCCTCAAACTTCTTTTAAGCATTTCATTCAGTCCTTTCTCCTCCACCACTGTTGTCTATAGATGTGCAAAGAATATGGTTTTCATATGGGGGAGTTCATAGCTTTCTTATGAGGTATAGCTCAAGAGAATTAAATAAGTAAAACCTTCAGGTTAAATCCACCTGATCAACCTTTTCATTTCTTTTCTTGTGAATGGACAGTGAGAAATGACCAAACTTTCTAATGAATTAACATATTGTCAGCAACAAGAATCCAGAGCAGATTGTGTAGGTATTTGTGTTGTGAGACTTTACAAAGCTATATATATTTGTCTCTTTCTATTTATCTTACTTATATGCCTAAAATTATGGTACTGAAGATCTCGTTTGGATTTCTTTTTCATCCTCTTAGTGGGTGCGGTAGATCTGGTTCTGCTGCTCGTGTATGAACGCCGTTCGTAGGTGCCACTTTTATAAATCAAAAATTCACAAATTTATTTCAAAGAATTGTTCCTTTAATGAAGTGTGCGAAATAAAATGAAACTCACTCCCTTGTTGGGTTAAGCAAGAAAAATGTTTGTCGCTCAATTATTTTCACCTGATAATTATGCACATAGATACAAGGTAGATGCAAAACAGGAAAGAGAGGGGAAAAAGAAAAAGAAACCAACGTGTAGCTAAAAGGCAAATGCTTTTTTGCAGAAAATAATGCAAAGTCTTGTGGATCCTCTACTCCTAGAATCTCTCTTTTTCCCATCTTTGTCGCAGGCTGATTAGTTCCACACACACTTTCTTCTCTCCAATTGCTTTAGTGGGAGCAGAGAACCTATGAATTTATATTTCGTTAGCTTCTATTGAGAATAAATGAACACTGCTTCAAAAGTGGAAAAATACTTTATACCCTTTGTCATTGCAGAAATTATATGCTTAGGATTTCCCCCC